TCACTGGCCAGAAAAATCACTTCAAATAGCTGTATGGTGTAGACCAGGCTGAATAGTGACGGTCAATTCTTCAGCCTTGCAAGCTGCTGAATGGTGCAATCCCAGCACAAGTTGCTATGGCTTCCGCCGTAGCATTGCTATCATCGCCTCCGGCGATGGGCGTCAAAAGTCAGGTGTGTATGTGCGTGTTACAGCTCTAGGGTTAAAGTTCTAGTTAATGATCTAGACCAGTCAGCACTCACATTGAGCAATCTAATGATTTGTGAATGTCAAGGCAACACTAAAACAGAGGTTCCAGGATGGTTCACCCTTACCGCACATTCATCTAGGTCCTGGCATGTTCGATTGTCTGCTAGCAGATGAGCTCCAGACGGACACTGGCATTCAAAGCTACCAGGCGTATCAACACAGCCGTCCGTACACCCGCCATTGTCCGTTGCACATTCGTCTATATTGACACACTCATCCACATTTGACCTGGGCACATGCACACGTCAGGCGAAATTACTGGTCAGTCGGCGACACACATTTTTCACAAAAATTTGCGTTTCACCTGCTGGGAGAGTATGCATGTATTCGAGTCTCATCCTGAGCACGTTTTTTTCTTCTTTTTTTCAGCTCCAGTATAGCTGTATTTTTCATTGCAAAGCCGTCCTCGATTGTTGTGTTCGTTGTTCAAACGAAGTGGACATTCAATCAGGAAGGCAGAGGACATAGGAGCCTGATTGGAGTTTCTCGTGGCATAGGACGGCCACACAGAGACACTTTGGGATTTTCTGAATATAAAATACCGTACGCACGATGCTGAGATCAATTTGTGCGATATCAAATTGTTTGTGATCTACCACATCGAGCAGAACGGGATCCAAACACAAGCTTACCGACGGTTAGGCTGCCGACCTGACTGGACAAATGATCCCTGGCTTCACCAGACGCCAGAAGTCGGACACCATGTCCTTCGCCGCGACGTCCATCTCCAAAAAGAACTCCATCTTCGTCGTGAAAAGGCTTGAAATACTCAATATTCAACCGAGATTCGCGGTCTCACCCTTTCTCAGATCGAATCATTTTTTGTTGTAGCAGTTGCAGGGCAGATCCCCGCCACTACTTCAACAGAAGATGGCTCCAAAGCATGCCTGGAACAAGCCATATCGAGGTTGCAAGCCACCCCTCTCAGCACTTTTTTTGAAGAAATTCGAAATTTCAATGGTGGAAGATATACTATGAAGAGAATTTCAAAAAGTATGTTTCGCGGAGCGATCGCTCAGCCTACGTCATTCAAACTTTGCAGGATGGTTCAGACGTACATGCTAGGCATGGAACCACAGAAGATGATATCATAGCTGACACACAGAGTCACACACACAGCAGATTCGTGTGCACAGATACCAAATTAGTGGACGTCGTCATCTTCTTCCCGCTGATCTCAAATGTACTATGACGTGCTATTTCCCCTGACGCATGTACGTACATATGCAGTCAACTTTGCGTATAACGACACTCGGCGGGGATACAGAAAAGTGTCCTTATTTGCGAAGTGCCCTTATACCCCAAGTCTCATTGTTTGTATTACAGTAAGATGGGACTTTGCTCTGGGCATGGAAATTCTGTCGTTATTCGCGAATTGTCGTTATATCCGCAGTCGTTATTAGCGAAGTTGACTGTACCGATGCCAAGGGGACATAACCATCCTTGTTCCTCTTTGGGGAGGGGGGGGGGGGTGGGGTGGGAGAGGAAGGGGAGAGGAGGGGGGGGGGGGGGGTGGGAGAGGAAGGGGAGAGGAGGGGGGGGGGGGGGTGGGTGGATTGTAAGGGCAGGGGTTGCACACAAACCAAAATGCACCACCGAGTCACGAACGCAACTTACGAAAGTGCCGAGTTGTAGAACCGTATCACGGAGTAACCAGGAAAGCACGAGCACGAGAAGTTTCCCGGCATGTTTGTACATTGCTGTGCGCATCCACCATTGTTGGCAGCGCACTCGTCAATCTCCTTGCAGTACGTACTATCTTCGGAAAACGCGTAACCGTTGCGGCATCGCGTACACTGATATCTGGGAGAGACAAAAAGAAGACGTTGCGGAATTGTACAATGTGTTGTTCACCGCTTAACCCTTTGCAGTGCTATGGACGAGATATCTCGCTCGGTAAAGTCAGCCACGTGGCAGCGCCGTTGGAGGTAGTCCGGCAGGAGGGGGTTCCGGGGGGTCTTCCCGTGAAAATATTTGAAATTAGCTGGTGCAAAATCTTCAATTCTGGGCACTTTTGGCATTGCGTTAAAATAAAGTGGTCCGGCCGAAGCCGGGCCGTCCGGATAGGCTGCCACGCTCCTGAAAGTGTGCCTGAACGGCAGACGACGAGATATCTCGATCCACTTCACACGCAATAGTACGAAATATATAGCTGCCAAAGAAATACTAAAGGGAATATATTTGAACAAACGGCGAGGAGACAACAATTTGATAACCGCAATCAGTAATACAAGCTGGATCGACATTTGTGTACACTTTATTCATGTACTGTAAAACTGTGGAGACAATGTGCAATAAAACGAGGAAAATGTGAAGAAATGGTGTAGAGAAAATGAGGATTCAAACAAGTTTGAAAATGAGTCGGAGAGCGACGATTGTAGTGATCGTGAGAGTGCCGGTGAGAATGTGAATGTTAGTGTTGTGCGTAGGTTTCGTGTTAGCAAGTCTTCAGTGTACAATCATCTGTTGGCTAGTCCTGATTGTTGCAATTTGTATTCCGACTCTTCATTCACTGTATTGTGCCATGGTCGTCATGGTTATGGACTACAGTTAAAAGTTTTGGAAGCCATCTGTCAGCGTCTGTATAAGCCTAATTTGTGTGTACAGAAAGATAGTATAATTGGGTTGAAATTGTTCAAGTAAAGTGTCATGTTTTGTGCGGCCAAGCTTGGCCGTTAATGTTCTAGGTGTAATGTACTGCTGTTATTTGTTATCACTTTGTCCCTTTCTCTTCTTTGTTCATTTTTCAGTTGCGAGTTTAGTGTTAGTACACGCATCCGTTATTGCTCTCGCGTTCATTGATAAAATTCACACTTGTAAATTTCACTGCTGTTGTTCTTAGTGTTATTTCTCTAACTTAGATTTTCTATAATAGTTCAATTTGTTTTCATTGTCCTTTAGTACAACGAAGATTCCAGATGAGTGTTGTACGAAAACTTGTTTGAATCCTCATTTTCTCTACACCATTTCTTCACATTTTCATCGTTTTATTGCACATTGTCTCCACAGTTTTACAGTACATGAATAAAGTGTACACAAATGTCGATCCAGCTTGTATTACTGATTGCGGTTATCAAAGGGAATATAGAGAAAAGAAAAAGGACCAAGGAACGAAAACTTGAGCTATAATGTCCACTAACACCACCAGTTACTAAACAATCAGCTCATGCGATAACATGCACGACAATGTTGCATGATGTTGCACAATGTTGCATGACACTGACCTGTTCTCTTTTCTATAGATTTATCCTTGGCTCTCCATCCGAGTCCATACTAAAGGAAATATTCCCCATTCCTCTTGAGGAGATCAGCATTGCCTTTCACGTTGCCAGGGTCATTGGAGCAAAAGACCGCTGACATATCCTGCACCTATATTCAGAATAAGCCCATTGCGCAATGACGCAATCTGCACCATTAATACAGTCAGACCTCGGCACGGAACTGGATGTTCGGCTACACATACTGTATGTCTGCATGGCATATGCTGTAAATCGGTAGCCAGCGACTTTCTTCCGGATGGCGAGGGATCCGGATGAAAGAGGACCGGATAAGCGAGGTCTGACTGTATCCCACACAGCCATCTGGCATGGTTAGGTAGGCTGTTGAACTGTGCATAGCTGATACCAACGTAATCATACCTTCCGTACTTGGCAATGCGCAACGAGCTAAAGGCCGATTCATACTTCATTTCCCGTACGCGAAATAGTTGAACTCAGATCAATTTTTACCCGACACGATGCATTTCCCGTACGCAAAATGAAGTATGAATCGGTTTTAATAGACAATGGACTAGCCGTACCATTGCCCACTTACCCCGGTGAAAGCTCCAGGCATTCCAGGCAGTTGCCCTCTAGCAGGATCTCGGCCGCAAGCTCAATGCACTCGGGTATGTCCACGCAGCTGCGCTCATCTTCGGCCAGACGGAAACCGAGACCGCACGTACACCGGTAGGTGCCCGGAAGGTTCTCACAATCACCCTGACAGCGCATGCCGGGACCACCGTAGCATTCGTTGATATCTGACGGTGAACAGAGGCGCATGCAGACAAGCAGGCACACAGACAAACATAAACACACACGTGGACACACGCATGCATACACACACAAACACACACATACACACATACACGCGCACGCGCACCCACACACAGAACAACACACAGCAGCACATAATCAACCACAACTAGTGTACCCTTATCTAGCCAACATCTTCTATCACTCCATGTGTAGGACAAATAGCCAAGGTCAGCAATGTAGACAGACAGACAGACAGACCGCCGGTTGAATGGATGGACCGACGGGCTGGCATCCAGGCAAGCAACCAGGCAGTCACCCCACCCCACCCCGCTATAAAATTTGCACACGCGCGCGCGCGCGCGCTCGCACACACACACACACACACACACACACATGTGCACACACATACATACGAACACACACACACAAACACACGCACATACACACACACACACACACACACACACACACACACACACACACACACACACACACACAAAACACTCACAAAACACACTTACACATAATTATGTGCACCCACCTTCACAGGTTCTGCGATTGGCCGACAGTCTATATCCTTCTCCACACTCGCAGTAGAAACTACCTCTGGTGTTTACACACTGTTGACCGCAGTGATGGATGGCTGGATCTAGGCATTCGTCTATGTCTACAATACACACAAACACACACACGCACACACACACACACACACATGCTCTCCACCATGGGCAACATAGTGATAAATTTCACCCCGCTGATGCATTCTTTTCTTCCGATTATCATTATTCTTTCCTATTTTCTTTCTTTTTCTTCTCTTGCCATTGCCATTGCATTGGCTTCTGCCATTGGACGGTGAAATAAAATAACATAAAATGAATAAAATACATACACAGACCAGAATGTACATGATCAATTGGGAGAGAATTCTAATGTCTAACAGCCAGAGACAGAACATGTCCATACACAGCGACTACATATAGATATCGCAGGGGCGTCGAAAGGTATTTTAGTGTGGTACGGTCAGCCATCTGAAGTACAATTTACTCGTGAAGGAGGGGGGGGGGTGGCTGAGCCGGAAATTTTGGAAATTTAGAGTCCAGATCTGTGTATGTTATTGATTCACGGGGTACCTGGGTCAAAAAGGGGTACAGTCAATACCGTAGTGATCGTACCGTGTCCGACGCCCTTGTATAGAAACAGCACACGATCGCTCGCAGTGACCACACAGAGATACATTGTATAAACACAGAACAATACCTGAGCAGTTGCGCAGGTTGGTAGCCAAGCGGTAGCCGGGCAAGTCACATTCGCACCGGAAACTTCCCACGTTGTTGACACATTGCTGTTCACACGGCTGACTAGCAAATCCACACTCATCCGTATCTGATCAGTACAGCACATAATGGTGAACACAGCACAGTCATAATGGTGAACACAGCACATAATGGTGAACACAGTACATAATGGTGAACACAGCAGATAATGGTGAACACAGCAGATAATGGTGAACACAGCACATAATGGTGAACACAGCACATAATGGTGAACACAGTACATGATGGTGAACACAGCACATAATGGTGAACACAGCACATAATGGTGAACACAGCACATAATGGTGAACACAGCACATAATGGTGAATACTGCAGATAATGGTGAACACACCAGATAATGGTGAACACAGCAGATAATGGTGAACACAGCAGATAATGGTGAACACAGCAGATAATGGTGAACACAGTAGATAATGGTGAACACAGCACATAAAAGTGAACACAGCAGATAATGGTGAACACAGCACATAATGGTGAACACAGTACATAATGGTGAACACAGCACATAATGGTGAACACAGCACATAATGGAGAACACCGCACATAATGGTGAACACAGCACATAATGGAGAACACCGCACATAATGGTGAACACAGTACATAATGGTGAACACAGCAGATAATGGTGACCACAGCAGATAATGGCGAACACAATACATAATGGGGTTACACAGCAGATAATGGTGGACACAATACAGCAGTCCAATTATAATTTTTCGACATCGCTAATAAAAGAATTTTCATCCAGCGCGTGCGCCAAGAGTGAATAGCAACTAAATAGAGCGGTTGTCAGATAACAAGTCCCCTTGTATTCACAATGCAGTTGCGTGATGTCCACCACTTTCTGAACGACCGATTCCTATGCTTCTGATATTACAATCAAACATGATATTCTGCATACACATTATCTTCATCATTTTGCGAGAACTGTGGCAATACGCCCTGAGAGAAGGCAGATTTTGCCTGTGTCTATGGTGAAGTGAAAATAAAGCTAAACAAACAAACAATACAAAACACATTATCATGTACAGTCAGACATAGGCGTGCACAGTGCTGCTCCAGTCATTTACAGCCACTCAGAGGCATTCAGAGCCCATGTCTAGACTCTAGACATGCATATCCATTCAAAGATACAGTCAACTTCGCTGATAACGACTGCGGATATAGCGACAATTCGCGAATAACGACAGAATTCCCATGCCCAGAGCAAAGTCCCATCTGATTGTAATACATATAATGAGACTTCGGGTAGAAGGACACTTTTCTGATGCCCCGCCAAATGTCGTTATACGCAAAGTTGACTGTATGCAGACATGGCACTAGAATTATTCATACTGGAATATGCAGTAGTTTAACATCACAACAACACAAACACAAGTATCCACGCACCTGCCCCCCCCCCCCCCCCCACACACACACACTAACGCACCCACACACACAAACAGATGCCGCCGCACGCACACACACAAAAACACACACACATACGCACACACACATACACACACACACAGCAACACAGCAACACACACACGCTTACCAATGCAGTCTCTCTGATTGTCCTTGAGTGTAAACCCACGGCTGCAGGAGCACTCTCGTGTGCCGTTGCCCAGGGCAGTACAGTAGTCCTGACATCCTCCATTGTTGTCCTGGCATACATCCAGCACTACACATAGCAAATACACACAAAAGTAAAGTTCGCACATTCGCGTTATCACCGGCTATACACAATTGAGTATCTTCATCTGCGCCGCCACACCCCTTGTAGGCATGCAAGAAACCAGACTAAGCACAGGGAAAGAATAGACAACCAGCCATTGTGTCTCTCAGATTCTTCATCTGTAAAACCAGCTCAACAGCAGCAAATGGCCAAGAGCATTACGCAATGTACTGTTACCATGAC